ATTCCTTCAAAATGCTACATATTTTACACAGAGAGGATTATTTTACATGGCAAAGACATAATTCCACTTCCTAAAAGTTTGCAGCCTATGAGGCATATATTATAAATCCTTACCATTCACTTATTTAATTTTGTTATTTTCTGATGCTCAGTGAAGTTGCATCTCAGATTACAAGAGAGCCATTTCCTATAGGCTCTGTCAATTCTTTTGAAACACATATAAATTCTGAGAAATAATTTCCACAGCACAAAACAAAAGGCTACAGACATCACTTTCACAATGAGATGAATCCCATATGCTTTCATCTTTATAGTATGTGGTTATTGTCTCAGTGCATTTTCTGTTGCTATAACACAATACCACAGACTGGGTAATTTAACAAGAACACAAGTTTATTTGGTTCACAGTTTTGGAGGCTGGGAAGTCCAAGAGCATGGCGCCAGCATCTAATGAGGGTCATCTCATGGTGAAAGGGTGGAAGGCAGAAGCCAGTGTACAAGATACAGGGAAGTGGGCTGAACTCATCCTTTTTATTAGGAATCCCCTTGAGCAATGACTAAACCATTCCCATGATAATGGTATTAATTCATTCATGAAGGCAGAGTCCTCAAGCCCTATCAACTCTTAATGGTTCCACCTCTCAACACTGTTACAATGGCAATTAAATTTCAACATGAGTTTTGAAGGAGACATTCAAACCATAGCAGTTGTTTATCAAGAAAAACTCTGTACCTAACAATGGTTGAACTAATTTATGCTTCCACCAACAGTGTAAAATTGCTCCTTTTTCTCCACAACCTTTCTAGCATCTGTTATTTTCTGACTTTTTAACGATAGCCATTCTGACTGGTGTGAGATAGTATCTCATTGTGGTTTTGATTCACATTTCTCTAATGATCAATGATGTTGAGCATTTTTTTCATATAACTGTTGGCTGCATGTATATCTTCTTTTGAGAAGTGTCTGTTCATGTCCTCTGCCCACTTGTTAATCTGGTTAGTTGTTTTTTCATTGTAAATTTGTTTAAGTTCATTATAGATGCTGGATATTAGTCCTTTGTCCAATGCATAGTTTGCAAAATTTTTTCCCATTCTGTAGGTTGTCTGTTTAGTCTGTTGATAGCTTCTTTTGCTGTGCAGAAGCTCTTTAGTTTAATTATACTCCATGTGTCAATTTTTGCTCTTGTTGCAATTGCCTTTGGCATCTTCATCATGACCTCTCTGCCCATACCTATGTCCTGAATGGTATTGCCTAGGTTTTCTTCTAGGGTTTTTATGGTTTTGGGTTTTACATTTAAGTCTTTAATCTATTTTAAGTTGATTTCTGTATATAGTGTAAGGAAGGGGTCTAGTTTCAATTTTCTGCATATGGCTAGCCAGTTCTCCCAGAACCATTTGTTAAATAGAGAATCCTTTCTCCATTGCTTGTATCAGGTTTGTCAAAGTTCAGATAGTTGTAGGTGTGAAGTCTTATTTCTGGGTTCTCTGTTCTGTTCCATTGGTTTGCATGTCTGTTCTTATACCAGTACCATGCTGTTTTAGTTACTATAGCCCTGTAGTATAGTTTGATGTCTGGTAGCATGATGCCTCCAGCTTTGTTCTTTTTGCTTAGGATTGCCTTGGCTACCCAGGCTCTTTTTTTGGTTCCATATGAATTAAAATAGTTTTTTTCTAGCTCTGTGAAGAATGTCAGTGGTACCTTAATGGGAATAGCATTGTATCTATAAATTTATTTGGGCAGTGTGTCCATTTTCATGATATTGATTCTTCCTTTCTATGAGCACGAAATGTTTTTCCATTTGTCTGTGTCACATCTGATTTCATTGAGCAGTGGTTTGTAGTTCTTCTTGTAAAGGTCCTTCACTTCCATTATTAGCTGTATTCCTAGATATTTTATTCATTTTGTGGCAGTTGTGAATGGAAGCATTCTTGATTTGGCTCTTGGCTTGACTGTTGGTGTATAGAAATACTAGCAATTTTTACACATTGATTTTGTATCCTAAGACTTTGCCGAAGTTGCTTATTAGCTTAAGAAGTGAAAAACACACTATTTATTTTAAAAACTCCCCCATAAAAAGCTGACAATTATGTTGCTTGAAATATATAATTTGGAGTATTTTACTCTAAGATTTTGCTTTGCTAATATTTCCTAAAATAATCAAGCTTCTAAATTACAAAATGGTACTCTGAAATATCATGAGACTTTTAATCAAATAATAAAATATCTTTTAAAATATTACAAATTAATTTTTGTGTGCATAATAATTTCTATATTAGTATAATTAACAAGATTCCATGAGTATATGGTTTCTAATTTAAAGTGACAAGAGTTCTATTGGAGATTAAGAACTAGGTCAATCAATTGATTAGTAAATTTAGTCACTTTATCCTTATGGTATTTGAAGTAGCTAGTAAAATTCAGTACAAGACAATACGACAGCAGTCATGTAGTCTAATAGTCTTTGTTTAAAATGATGGGTTTTTGAGCAGGTTGGGTAAATACACTGCTGTACTCCATAAGAACCAGAACTAAAAGTAGTACAATGTGATACCTTTGATAACTCCACGTTTCTTTAAAACAACATCATGTTATACATACCAGAAGATGGACATAATTATTTTTGATAAGTAATTGTAGGATTCATTTGTAAGAGAACATGGTTAAATATTCATAACTATAATTGTACTTCCTGCAGTTAGTGGCTATCTCAACATAGTCAAAAGGTTTATCTCAATTGATTTTACAATCTATTCTCCATAACTCTATCAGTAGGAGACCATTTCTCTTACAGGACCATGCCTGTGAGTTTCAAAGATTACATGAGAGTAACTCTCAGCTTTGTTAGATATTATCCTTTGCACGTAGCTGCTTTGTCTGACAAGCACTTAGACTATAAAGTTTAAGGGAAGTGCCATGTTTTCTGTTCTAATTGATCACTGATTGGCCAAACACTGTTTACTGGACTGTTTATGTAAAAAGCACTGTGCCAGCTTAAGGAGGAATATAAAAATCTACAGTACAGCCTTGCCTACCTAGCTGGAAAGGCAAGTTAAATGCATGTGTACCAAGATGTCCTGGTTGATCCAACCTGAGAGTGGACAGAACAATTCTTCCCAATACTACACTATTTGGCTTCAGGGTTTAATTTGCATGAGTATTTGTATTGGAAGAGCAGGGGACCGAAAGCTCTGGCTGGGTACAAAATCTAGATCTACTCAGTATTTATCAGATATGTGTATCAGTGGGTAAGTAATAATTATCTTCAATGCCAATGTCCTTATGTTTAACATGAGAGTAACAATAGTATATCTTTTATAAGATTATAGAGAGAATCAAATTAGATAACACATATAAAATGCTTAGCATAGTGCCTGATAACTAATAAGTGAACAGCAAATGTTGGTTACTTGAGGAAGTAGATTCCCTAGTGTGAGTTTTCTCTTTAGGAGAGTGGTTAAGCCTGAAGCTAAATAAATTGTTTTCGGATAAACTTTGTGAGATTTGAATTCCAAACAGTACGGCTTGGGAGCTAAGGAAACAAAATCAGATTCTGGGCTTGGGAGGGAGCAAGCTTTGCCTTTCTGCTTGGAATACAGTGAGGCCTGAGGAGTTGTGATGACCTTTGGCACCACATGGCTTTAGAGTTTGGAGAGCACCAGGAGAGAAGCAATATTCTTACAAGAGACACTGCTCCTAAGTGCCTTTTGGGAACCAAACATCAAGGTGGATGGGAGAGAATACGGGGCACAGGTCCTGAGCAGATGCGAGATAACAAAAATTACCAGAAATGACTGGAGCTATTTACACAAGGAAAGGCTATGAACCTCATTTGTATACTAACAGGCTGGTAGGGCCTAATGACATTAGCCTCATTCATATATAAACACAATAAAAATACAAGGCAGTGCATGCTAAGGGCAAATAAAGTAGCCAAGATGAAAGTTCAGTATGAAGTTCAGGGGAGGAAGAGATCAGTGTAAGATGGAGCATTCAAAGCTCTGAAACATCAGCTGGTCTTTGCAGACTGGTGGAAGCTAAGTAGTTTATGGCAGGTCTTTAAGTAGGAAAGACAGGTGAGCCAAGGTGTGGAGTGAACGCATGCTTGGGGCTTTGGGGACAACAACTGTTACAGGAGTAAGTAGGTGGTGTGTGCAAGGAAATAGTGGGGAAAAGGTTAGAAAACTATTCTGGATCATATTTGAATGGTGAAGAGACTTGGGTCCTGCAGGTGATAGGGAATTAGAGAAGAAAGATTTTGATTTGGGAAACCTACAATGAAACTAGTAATTGATAAAGTAATCAGGCTTCACTTGTGGTACGGAATAGGAGAGACGCATAGGAGTATGAGAAAATGGTGAAAAGCTCTTCCTAGATGAAGTGGGACTACAATGAGATGTAATATTATACTGACATAACATTACTTACCATTTTCTTAAAAAGCATTTACAGGGGAAAAAAAGAAACTAATTAAGAGAAGCACAGTCTTATATTACTCCTCAATTTCCATTCAGAATTTTCTGGTGATTACTACTCTATGCTCCAACGGATATAGCTGTAGGCCACAGCTTGCTTGTTTGTAAGTTGCACAAGCACTCTTCATGATACACTGAAATTCCCAGTGTTAATCTAATACTCTTTCTCTCTCTCTCTCTCTCTCTAGGTCTAATTCAGATTGTGCTTTGGAAACATAACTGCATTCCTACAATTTTTTTAGGCATTTCAAACCCTGCATATTGATACATTTCTATATAATGGTAATTGTGATAGAACAGTGTCATATAAAAATATAGTTTTCTCTCATTCAGAGTCCTTGAAATAAATTCTTTCAAATAGGTTGGTAAAGCGATTTAATGCTTTTGTTTGCTGCTAACCCAACTGAATGTTGATACATGCCACTGGTTTACATCCTTCTTCTAATGTTTGCCTAGGAAAAAAACTGTTATTCAACTCAAGTAATGACTAGGTTTTTCGAGGACATTCTTATAACTACTCATACTCACTTGAGCTCTTCAGCAAGATTTTCAGTAAAAGTCCATCATGATGCAGAAGGGTTTCCAGAAGCAAGTTCCAGTTACAACCTGGCTGGGATAAGAGCAGTTTCAATTGACCCTCAGCTTTCAGTCCTCCAGTTGATGGAGTCCTTTCAAAATGCAAGATAAAGATAGAGTAATGAAGTTAATTTATCTATGAAATTAATAGCCTTAAAGTACAGATGTAATGCTAGCTCCTTTAAATGTCAATTCCTCCCAGATTACTCTGAAAATGCTTTCATGCTTACTTACTTTAGGGTTGCCTGGGGAAGGAATTACATTTAATCTCAACTAGCTAAAAGCAAATTAACATTTGGTACCCTGCCAAATTTAAAACTGATACAAAATACCCATGCCTATATTTCATGGAACTATGTCTGTTTTTGTTTCCTGGAGGGAAGAAAAACTATTTATGCATTTTTTGGAATGCATTCATTTGTTTATTCACCTAATATATGAATGCCTACTATGTGCTATTAACTCCTTTCATTATTAATTGAGAGAAGTTCTGATGGGTTTCGCTAGTTTGTAATTTGCTATATACTGTGCTCTATACTGTGATTGCAGATGAAAAAAATTCAAAGCTTCTGTCAAGGATCAACCATAATCTAATTATTTAATATGTAAAGCCTTACATCAACATTCAATTATCAGAACTACTGCTGTTACACTGTTACCTACTTGCGTAATCATTTCATCAAAGGGAAAGAATTCCAAGGCAGATATGCTTCTGCTTGAAAAATTATCATCAGTGTTGAACAGAAAATAGAAATCAGGTCTCTCACATCACCACTTTCATTTATCAGTGAATCAGCAGGAGAGCAAAGGAACTGATAACATTATTTACTTTTCCCTTCTAAAATCTAGAAATCTAAAATTTAGATTGGCTAACAGTCAAAAAATGGGAAATCAACTTACAAGGAGAACAACAACAAAAAAGGCAGGAAATAGCTAAACTCAATCTGGTGACAGCCTTAAGGACATGGGAATAGGGCGGCATGGGGAAGGGAAGGTGGACTGAGCAATCTAGAGGTGAGAATGGGAGCATCATATGCTTCAAGGTGGAAAGTAATTCAGAGCAAAGGGTATCACTGAGAGAGGCAATTGGCAGCATTATCATTAGCAGATGCAATTTACTGTGTTTTAAGCCATCCAGTTATCAACACAGTCTAGACCAGTGGTTTTCAAAGCTTGGGCCCCAAACAAGCAGCATCAACATCACTTGAGAACTTGTTTAAAATCCTAATTCTCCAGCCTCATCTCATCAAAAATTCTGGGGTGGGGAGTGGGGGCAGGGAGCAGGGGATAGGGCAGAAATCTGTGTTTCGACAATCTTTCTCCAGGAGATTCTGTTGCATGCATGGTAAGGCTTGATGCATGTAGGCAGTGCTTTCTGAAGCACAGGCAGTAGGGTTAGGACCAGTTAGCATCCTCTTTCCTGCCTGTGCCTTTGCGCAGGTCCACCTTGGCTGCACCCACAATGGGCTAAATGTTTGTGCTCCCCCTCCTCAAAATTCATATGTTGAAACCCTAATCCCAATGTATCCGGTGATGGGGGCTTTGGGAGATAACTGGGTTCATGAAAGTGGAGACCCCATGAATGGGATTACAGTCCTTCTAAAAGAGGCTACAGAGTTAGCCTGACCTCTTTCTGCATGAGGATACAAGAAGTTCACTATGGGAAACCTGGAAGAAGGCCTTCACTAGTATGCAACTGTGCTGTATCTCATCTTAGACTTTCAGTGTCCAGAACCATGAGAAATAAATGTGTGTTAAGCCACCCAGTCTATGGTATATTTGTTACAGCAGCCAGAGCTAAGATACCATCCATGCAATAAACTCCCTATAACCTTTTATCTTTATCTTAATCCTACTCTTCCTTTGATTTGCCACAAAAAATTCACTATCCCAGTGAAGTCTTCACTAGAAATTTATCTTCACAGTGGCAAGCTTACACATTTTAGCTTTATTATTTCATCAACTAAAGTTTTATCTGTTCAATTCACCCAGATTCAAACTTTGTGAAGACACTTGCTTTATATCCCAAAGCTTCTACTAGTGAACTAAGCACATTTAAAGGCTTTCTAAATGTTAACTGATTGATTTTTCTGCTCATAAATGAGTAGGCAAACTTAAAGAAAAAAAAATGATGAGGACGCGTTGCCAAAAGGCTGGCTGAAACAAAAGTGAGAAGATTCAAAGACACAAAATGAAAAAGTCCCGGATCACCTCCCCCTTGGCTTGGAATGGTGTTTGGAACATCTCATAACCGTATGATACACAAAATCCATCAGCTTGTGCTTAAACTTTGGGCCAACTCAGGTTTCCCATGTAAAACTCTGATAACATGTCTCAAATTGGAATAACTCCTTAGGCAATTGGTGGGGCACTGTTAGCTAGGAAACCTCCCTCCTTGGGTGAGTGGTAAAGAGAGAAGAAGGGTGTTACTAAACTCAAGGGCCAGAGGAATCAAGTCTATCAGTTCTGAACATCCCAGGAGTTCTGAATTATTTTGCAGATTAGTCTGGGTCTGACTTCTGCAGTAGTTCCAAATGTGGTGCCAAAGGAAGAATTCACTAGCTGAGCCTTTGGACTAAAAATCTAAAACAGATCCTCACAATGGCTGTCCCTAGTTCCATCCTAAACCCTAAACACTGACTTCTAGATGCTCCTTTGGGGTTCAATGGATGAAAAATGCTACTTGGTAGTAAGTTGTATATTAACATTGATTTGGGTTTTGAACATTTCCTACCTGTATATTATGCTTGAGTTGAGTGCTAACTTAAGGCATTTAATGAACTGAAAGATCCCATTTGGCTGGAGTGTAGAAAGGAAAGGGAATCTTTGAGAGCTAGTCTGAAGGAGGAGCCGAGAGCTAGATTGTGGAGGGCCTTAATATCCCAAGGTGTGGATTTTAGGCCCATTGGAAAGTTTAAGGCAGAGGAGTTTCCTGATCTGGTTGCAGTGTGGTGAATGGATTGGACATGGTTAGTGTTTTCCTTAGCCCTTCAGTCATGGAATAAAATCATTTGAATGTCACTTTATACCACTGTATCTGAATACCTGGTTATAAATAAAATCTCTCATTTACCAGATGGAAAGCTGTTTGTTGACATGTACCTCAATTCTTGGATCTTTCAACTTATCACAGATTTTTAAATGTACAGTAGAATGACTCACTATGAGGAAAAATAAAATAGTACAAACATTCTTCAATCACCAAGCTCTGAGTAATAAATGCATTGAGGAATCTGTGTTGGGCATATGGAGAAGCATATGTTCCCTCAGCCTTTGAGCTGGTGGAGCTGTGAAAGTGAGATTAGCCTTACAAAAAATGACAGAAAGGGAAATTTTATACACACACACACACACGTATGTATGTATCAAATATGTACATGTTGAATTCCACCATAATACAAAGAGGGGAAAATGTTATAAATCCCATAGAACTCATAAATCTTGTATTAGGAGACAGGATGAATTTATGACGGGGTTGTACTCAGCTGATACTCCAATAAGTGCTGTATTTCTGGGGCACAAACTGGCCTAAAGAATTTTTAAATTCCAAGTAGTAATGGGGTCCAAGCATTACTGGTTTATGAAACTATCAAACTATTTTTATAAAATCATTGTGAAAAATCTTAGCTACATTCAGGTATGTTTATGAAAATTCATCAATTAGTTCCCAAACTTTCTTCAAGTTTTTGGTATGTACTCATGCTGCAATAGAATGTTTAAACAAAATCTTAGCTGTATCAGTCATACTGTCCTAATTTCCAACTTGATGTGAGGTAAGGCTCAGGCCAAGAGAAGGCTCTGCAGTAGGTTCAGACTAGGATATGAGTAGCCTTATTGCTCAGGCCACATGACCATGGGGTACATTGTTCCTACCGTTTATATATCATGCAGAAGCTGCAAGACTAGCAGAAAATTGGAATGGACTCCAAAATTCATAGCTTGGGAATGACATTCAGTGGTGCTAGAACACTGTCCCTCAAGACTTGATACTTACTTTTAGCCAACAGCCATTATATGGCACTGTGTCCTCAACAGACAAACTACATAGGTCTGAGAGACAAGGGGTGAAAGTAGGAGCAGCCCCTCCCACCAAAGATTCTGATAATCCACTTGACAAATTTGTGCCTCCTATCCCAATAACTATAAGCTCTGGAGGAGCAGAGGTTCTGGTTTCCATGGTGGGGTGGGATGGGGTATACACACCTCTACAAGGGGACCATTTAGGATCCCACTAAACCTAAAGTTATAGCTGCCATCTGGTCATTTTTGGCTCCCCATGCCAGCAGTCTATCAGGCAAAGAAAGGAATTACTACGCTGGTCGGGGTGATTAACCCTATTTATCATGAGGAGCTGGGCTTGCTACTGCATAAGGGGAGCAGGGAGGAGTATCTGTAACTCTAGAGATTCACCAGGGCATCTCTCAATGCTTTCATGACTGACAACTATCACATTCAGAAGACTTCAGTAACCAAGTCTGATAAGGGAATGGTAACCAGGAGTTCAGCACCTCAAGGATAAAGGTCTCAGTGACCCCACTGGGCAAATAACGTAAATCAGCAGAGATGATGGCCAATGATGAGGGGAAGATGGAATAGGTGGTAGAAGAATCTAATAATAAATATCACTTGCAGATTCAGAAATATCTGCAGCAGGGGGTACTGTATCCTGTCCTACTAAGTCCATTGTCATCAAGCTTAAATACATAAATAAATTGTAACCAGCAATGAACCTGAAGAATCAATGATAGAATTCAGGGAACCTAACATAGGGAATAAGTAGATCTCAGTGGTATAAAGGGTAGGGCCATAGAAGACATTGTCAATGATCCCATGTATTAGTCCGTTTTCACACTGCTCTAAAGAACTACCTGAGACTGGGTAATTTATAAAGAGGTTTAATTGACTCACAGTTCCCATGGCTGGGGAGGCCTCAGGAAACTTAAAATCATGGCAAAAGGCGAAGGGAAAGCAAGGTACATCTTACATGGCAGCAGGAGAGAGAGAGCAGGGGGAGAACTGCCAAACACTTTTAAACCATCAGATCTTGTGAGAACTCACTACCACGAGAACAGCGTCAGGGAAACTGCCACCA